CCACTCCTCTTACATAAAGTTCTATACCATTATTGAGATGATGATATAAAAGCTCTTTAAAACCCTGATTTTAACTGAAAATTAATTCTGTGTACAATTTAGCTTAGAACAGCATAGAATAGAATAGTAACAGAAGAGCTATTTAAAACAGAATAGAAGCATTTATCATAAATGGACAAAAGTCTAGTTATTTTTGTTTGTTTTTACCTAACCATTACCTCAGAACACACTAGACACTTAACTATACAAACAGTAAGCCACAGTTCTGAATCAGATATTTCCCAGTATATATTTTAGATACAGGACAACAAACAAAACAACAACAGACAAACAACCATCTGCAGAGAGAATGGCAAGACTAGATGAGTGCTACATTATTCAGCTTGTATTGCATCTCATTTTAAATAAACACAGTCAGTGGTGGACTGAGGGGGGGTGCAATGGAGAGGGGATCATACCTGCCCCCTTTCCACAGGGGATGTCACCTGCCAGCAGATCCATTTCCCTCCTTGGTCCCCTGCTGTTGAGGGAGCCCAGGTCAGGAAGGAAAGACCTACCTGCTGCTGTCCCCAGTTGACCCAAGGGAGTGGGGGTGGTGGAGGGAAGGGGAGCCCCAGGACCACTCCTGCCAGGGGTGTGGGCAGCAGCTACACAGGGCACCGGGTCCCTGCTACCTACCCCGCTAACCCGCACCTTTCTCTTGCTGGCCTGAAAGCTCCAGGTGTGGGAAGCATCTGCATGAAGGGCGAAGCAGTGCTGCAGATAGCAGCATCTGTGGGCAATACCCACCTTCCAGCACCTGCTTCTGGACTGAAGGGGACAGCCAGGGACCAGAGAGAGAACAGGAGTGCCTGGAAAGATTGGATAGGTTGAAGCACAAGCAGTCTTGGGCCTTCCCCTACCCCAGGGTCAGCTGGAGACAGCAGCGGCAGCAGGCTTCCAGGCGTTCCTCCTCCCTGCCCTACCCTAGGTATCCCTTGTGGTCTGGGAGCATGCACTGGAAGGAGGACCTACCCACTATTGCAGAGTAAAAGGTATAATTAACTTTATGTCTCCAGGGGCTTAGGTGCATTCACTACTGCAAACCAATACTGCAATCACAGGATTCAATTTGGGACTCAAATTCAGATACTGCTTGCCAAGAAATGCATGTGTTTTTACATACTGTATTGTGACAGGAGAGCAAGCCTCTCGCATGCAGCCACCCTTTTGTTGTGAAACCACATCAGAGCTGCAAAAAGGGCAAGAAATATGCATCATATGCACTACACAAACTCTCTTAGTGATAAGGCACTATTACCTACTAATATACTATTTTACCTTAAGGTCTCAACTGTCTGAATACTCATGGTATTGGGCATCTCATATTTGTTTATTAAGAAGTTTGAGTACTGCTGAGGAAAGAAACTCGTAATTAAGAACCTGCAACATGAGAGCTAACATACTTACTAGAATACATTTAGTGGGAATAGGAACAGGAAAAAACTGTACCTGACAAAAATGAAACTACTCTTGCCTCACACTTACATGAAAAAAAGATGAGCCCATTGTATGGTATTCAACTTAATGTGCCATACCAAGTCACAAAAAAAAAGTGCCTACTGGAATATGGTCCAATACCATATTGAAATAATACTTTTTTTTTTTTTTTTTAAAAGGGTGTTGTTGAATGCGGTCTAATTCTCCAGTGCTTTTCACACACACAAAAAAAGACATGGCATTACTTGCTATGAAAATTGGAATACATACAAAATGGAACATGATGAAATTTTGAGCTGTGGAAAAATTTGAAGATGTAGCACCATAAAAAAAGGATTTATGAAAATCACCATGCTCAATGAGTAGTTGTCAATAGTTCAATGTCCAATTGGGAGGAGGTATTGAATGGGGTCTGTCCTGGCCCTGGCATTGCTTAACATCTTCATTTATGATTTGGGTGACAGAACTGAATGCACGCTTAGCAAATTTGAGGATGACAAGTTGGGTGGCATTGTAAACACTGGAGGGTAGGGCTAGGATCCAGAATAACCTAGATAGACTGGATGAATGCTCCTCAATCAAACAGATGAAATTCAACAAGGACAAACTTAAAGTCCTGCTCTTCGGACAGAATTATTTCATGCACCTCCAGACTGAGGAATGACTGACTAAACTATGGTACTGCAGAGAAAGACCTGAAGAGTCACTGTTGACCATAAGCCGAATATTAGTCAACAGTGTGCTCTCATTGCCAAAAAAGCCAAAAGCATACAACCATATTAACAGACATGTCACTTGCAAAACAAGGGAAGCAATCCTTCTGCTCTATTCAGCACTAGCGAGGCCTCACCCAGAGTACTGTGTCCTGTTTTGGGCTCCATACTTCAAGAAGGATGTGGACAGATTAGAAAGAGTCCAGTGGAGATCCAACACAATTATAGGCCTGGGAGACTAGACTTATGAGGAAAGGCTAAAAGAACTACGGTAACTTAAGTTTGGAGAAGAGCAAGGAGGTTTTTAATAACAGTCTTCAACTACCTGAAGGACAATTACAGAGAGGATGGAGATGCACTTTTCTCTATAGCCTAAGGGACAAGATTAGGAGCAATCATCTCAAGCTTCTGTAGAGGAAATTTAGGTTGAGGATTAGGAGGAACTTTCTGACTACAAGGGTAGTTAAGCATTGGAATAAACTACAAGAAAAGTCACAGGATCTTCATCCCTGGACACTTTCAAAAGCAGATTAGACTGATGCTTGACTGGGATGGTTTAGTCAGGGATGATCCTGCCTTAAGAAGGGCCTAGATGAGGTCCTACCCAGCTGCACTTTCCCATGACCCTAAAATTCTCATTTGCCAGAGAAGCAATTAATTGAGCAGACTATAGAGCACTAGAAACTGTATATATTAATAATTTAATCTAATAATAATGGTGCAACCACATATACATAGCTATAATTCCAGCTCCTGTCCTTCAATTAGCGAGTCTTAATATAAAATATTTAGGTATAAAGGATTTCCAATAATTACTGTAGGCCTGTTCTTCACAAAGATGCTAGCAGCAGTTCTTGCAGATCTAGAGAAATGTAGTAATGTACCATACAGCAGCCATCTTGCACGTTTTTTTTGTCTCAGGATAAAGACGATCCCATTCATACTATTCCTAATGCAACCATTAACCAGAGGGACTATCTTTAATAAAGTGATAGATGTATGTACAGGGCTCTATAAATGCAATCCCTAAAGAGTTTTATGACCCAAGTGGAAAACTGTAACCTTTAATCATGCTAGTGACCATAAGGACATGGCTCACGGTAGACTAGACCTGGTAGTCAGTTACATGTTAAAGTCCTAACATAACTCTAACATTTTTCAAAGACTACATACCAGCTTTTTTATATTACTTGAACCATAATCAAAATGTAAGTTCTTCCAGGAGAAGTTTATTTTGCCAGAGCACCCAGAGAACTAATCAGGAAAAAGTACTGCCATTTGAGTAGATACAGCATGACACTGCTGTTGGTGTCAAATTCCTTAAGTCAGAATGAGTTTTACACAGAGTATATTTAATATCATAATGGAATTCAGTTTGAACTTCATTCTGATGCATTCTTCTGGTCAAGCAGCCAAAGAAACAATGATTTGCAGTGGCCAAAGAAGGTGAAATCTCCCCTGGCAGCAGTGAACTTCTGGCCACTTCTCCTGCATGCTGTTACCACTTTGCTGCCTCCCAGCTGCTAGAGCTGCAGTTACTGCAGGGAAGATTCAGAGAAACTGGGAGGTGGGGCAGAAACTGAGACAGTCCCACCCCCACCTCAAGTCTGCCTGAAAGTGGTGACAGGATGGCTCACCAGGCCAACCTGGAACAAAAAGTTTCCGTTATGTTCCCTGAAACACCCTCCCATGGCAGATGGTTGGCCTGCAATTTCTGCTGCGATGCCTCTTAAAGTTTAGTGCGCTGTATTCAACATTCTCTCTGACCTTCGTACAACTCTGAATATTCACTGCACTATTTTATATTACGTTATTTCTATAACAGATTACTCCAGAGTGTCCCACATCTCAGATTAGAGTCTGGTTTTCGATCTCCTGATGGAGTACATCCCTGCATAAAGTTTGTGTGGGAATGCATTCAGCAGTGATATGCTATTGAGTATTTAGAAACAGAAGTCAGCATCCCATACTAGTGATGTGTATCTTTTAATTACTAATCTCTTCTTCAAGATGCCCACTTATCCTCCAACACTCAGACCAGCTCTTCCCCAGCTAGCGAAAGAAACCATACAAAATAAACTTAATGGCATTTCTTGAGTTTATAACAATACTGTTAAACGCACAATAGGTAATGACTTGCTGAACAGATGTGTGCAGGTCCTAAATTCAGATTCCTTGATTTTTTTCGAAGGAAGATCCGTAAAATATTTTGGCCAGAAATAAACTGTGTGTGTTTTTCCTTTAATTCTCACAGCAAGTACACTCTAAACATGATTTGCAAGGAAAAGTTGGAAGAACTAGGATTATTTAGTCTGAACAAGAGACACTCGAGGGGGAATTTCATAAGTCTCCAAACTCCTAAAGAGTGCTATGAAGAAAAGGGTGATAAAACTACTTTCCGCAGCCACAAGGAAAACAGCTAGGAGCAATCTCACACTACAACAAGGGAAATTTCATTTTAATACTAGGAAGATCCTTCACGCTATAAGGATTTTTAAGCAAAAGAACAGGCAACCCAGAGAGGGTATGGAATCTCCATTCCTGAAAGTTTAAAAGCATTAGTTGAACACTTGGCTGGGATGGTTTAAACAGGGATGCTTCTGGCTTGAGCAAGGGGCTGGACTAGATGACCTCCCGAGGTGCCTTCCATACCTACTTTTCCTATATTTCTAAAGCAACATAAATTAAACTATTGATGACAGTCTGTATCTAAATTCAATCTTGATTCCTCTCACACCTGTATAATAAAAGTGAATTAATTTAGTAGAGGTTTAGTTTGAAAACAAAACCTGAAATCACAACACTTACCCTGTGCGTGACTGTCCAACTTTATCACAAATGTCTAGGATGAGGCCCCAATCCTCTGCAGTGTTCATCTCACTGGTGGCTTTTTCTGATAATAAAGCATAAATAGACCATAATAAACTTGCCATTCATATCCATTTGAAATATTAACTTAAAACCTCTCAGCTATTAAGAAAATCTTGTAGCACAACTAGCTACGGGCTAATGTAAAACGTTACTCCTGCCTTTAATATACTAAATACAACTTATAATTAAATATTATGCATGTGTGTGAAATGCGTTTTTGTATCACAGTCACATTTTCAAAATCACCCAGGGCTCCAAATATTTGAACACATACATTTTATACTTAGTTTTGAATTTCAACAATATGCATACAACATAATCTTTTATCATAGGAAGAGAACTTCGGGCATTCTTTGTTTTGAAATGATAAATGAGTTCAAAAAGGCTACCACTACCCAAAGTATCAGAACCCAACACCTTGCCAAAACACACTTTCATGCCTCAGCTGCTCCACCATTTTACACTGCTATAATACTTTGTAGTAAGCTTTGAGCAGTACATTTAGGCAGTTTCCAAACCTGTTGGATATGACTTCCTCTGCATTACTACTACAAGAGGCTACATAGAATTCATCCACAAACAGATAACCCCAATTTTCAACTCCCCAGTTACAGCTTTATTTTTGGAAGTTGCTTTTTAGCCACAAATTCAACTAAATTGATTCAAGTGAGACAAAACCCTAATTTTGGGCCCCTTTTGAACCTCTGAGTATGCTACTCCCTGAGGTCAATCCCTAGTGGCAGAAGTTGAACTAACAGCTAAAAAACTGGGCTGTCATCAAAGCATACCTACCCATCCTAACCATGTCCGTGGAGGAAGAGGAGATAAGGGAACATAACAGTCGAGCAGGGGTGGGTAAAATGCGGCCTGCCAGGCCATTCTAGCCGGCCTGCCGGGTCCCTAAACAATTTAGAAAATTAATATTAATCTGCCCTGGGCTGCCTGTCATGCGGCCCTCGATGGCTTGCCAAAACTCAGTAAGCGGCCCTCTGCCCAAAATAATTGCCCACCCCTGCAGTAGAGGTAAGAAACAAGGAAACTGAGTTTTACATCTAAATTTTGAATTAGGGAACCCATCTGAATCCTAAGGGAGCTGGCAGCAGAACTGGTCAACACAATCAAACCCTATCAAAACCCAAGGAAGACTCAAACAACTCCCAAAATTCTGTGAACAGAAAAGACAGACTAGAAACAGAAAGTTATTTCTCCTCCAATTTTACCTATAGGCCTTTTAATTTTACGCCTAAAAAACAGACCTCAAACAAACAATATCATGCTCCAGTTTCTGAAAAGCTTTCTAGATAATTTCCTGAAGGAGAACAATGAAAGAAAGATCTAGCTGCCAGGAAAGACTTAGTAATTTAATACTTCAGACCGAGGAAAGAGACATTAGAAAAATGTTTTATCTTCTAGAAGTCATGGAGAATATCTGTCTTTGAGCCTAGAACTGAGGACCTCCAGACCTGCAAGTTTCTCTCTCCTCAATCCAAAGTGAGCAGGCTGGTTATGTCCAGAAATCACTTGTCTCACTAGGCTGCAGTATCAGAAATGTAAATTAAAAACTAACATGAGCAAAGATATAAAAATCTACTATAAATAGGACAACCAAGTTGCCCCTCTTATCTTCCCTCAATTGATTCATGCTTTTTGACAGAATATTTTCAAAGAAAAAACAAACGCTATATTTAACTAGGGAAGTCACTTTTTGCATGCTACATGCATTGAGAGAGAATAGAAAAGAAACGTAAAATTGGCAATTGTTCATCAATTTTCTGCCAGTTTAAGACAAGAGGAATCACCCAGGTTCTTCAGTGTCTCAGACTGTCACAGCAACTTATTTCACCTTCTCTGTAGAACTAGTAAACATTGCACAAAACTATGAAAAAGCAACACTAATATCCAAAATTTCAAACTGCCAGCTCCAAAAAAACCTGCCAGCAGACCCATCAAGGGATCCCAGGAGCCTTTCTTTCTTTATTTTTTTTTTTTTTTAAAGAAGGATGACTTGAGCACAGTAATGTAATAAGTAAAACCTAAAATTAATATATGTGGCGGATTAGAAAAAAGTTTATCTTTTTACATTCAGAAACAGGAAATAAAATTTAACACAAAAATAAGAGGGACAAATGCAGGCAATTTTAATATCTTTCTGTTCTGTTCAGATTTCAACTAAACACAGCGTCTTCCAAGCCTTGAGATCAAAACAGAAATTCCTGAAGGCTTCCAATTATTACATTGAATTTGACCTGTACATTTTTATTAACCCTCATAATAAAGTTGTGTCTGTAAGCAAAGATACATGAAGTCTGTCAACACCCAAAACACCATCATCAAAAAGCCTTTATAAATTTAACTTTAAGATAAAGCTTGATCAGAAATGCCAGCACATCATAATTTGGAAGCCAATATATAAAACATGGCATTCTAATGCAAAGCTACCAATTTAAATGAGTATTACTGTGTCAGCGTACCCGTCCTGGGTACCCGTTTCTCTTGTAGCTCCCCCAATTACCGCCTGCCACGACTTGATCTCAATGCAAATTCAGGGGGGGGGGGGGGGTGTTAGATACCGGTACCGCAGTAAAGAACACGCTGGTCAGATCGTAGTTCCAAGTGCTTTATTAACGTTAGCCTGGCTCGCTCTCTCTCTTGGAGCGTCAATCCCCCAGGGATCACCACGGGATTCTCACCGTCTGCCTTCTGCAAGCAAAGCAGGGCTACTTATGTGGTTGTTACTTAATGATCAGCCGCTAATTGCCTTGTTAGCGGCTGATTAACGCCGACACCGGGATTCCCCAGCCGCGGCTTGTGCCGGCTTGCAAAGCGTGGCTTCATCAATTTCCCTTTTTCTTTCCTTTCACTTTCTGACTTTCTCTGCTTTCAAAATTTTTTAGGGGTCTGCAAATGAAAAAAGGTTGAAAACCATTGGTTTAGATCACATGAGTAGTTGTGCAAGAGTGGAATTTTGTGTTGCTTGAAAATAAGGTGTAACCTGAACTGTATATGGAAGAAGATGTAAAGAGGCAAGAAGGGAGAAGGAAATATATGGAAGAGGAAGAGAGAGAGAGAAAACTGGGAAGGGAATCTTTTCCCTTTTATACTAGGAGTAGAGGTATAAGTAGTGTGTGTGGGGTAATCTCATTTGATGGGAACATGGAGATTTTAAATGGAGTTCCTTTTAATAACTAGTAGAATTAAGTGGAAAAGGTAAGTTTGCTTTGAATTGTAAGTGTGGCTATGTACATACTTCTGATTGAACAGTCATCTTTTGCAGACCACGTGGACATAGCCTGCAGACCCCCAGAGATCCAGGTTGAAAAACACTAATCTAAACTTTTAACTGTATTTTCCATTCCCAACTTTGTTGCTTTTCACATAGCCCTCAAAAAAAACCCCAAAAAACCTTAACATTAAGGGATCCTCCATCATCTCCTTCAAGTAATTTTTCCAAGCCTACCTGGGTCAATTTTTTTAAAAAATTTTTAATTAAAAAAAAAATCAAACAATATATTTAGACAAAAAATGGGTCTTCAGGCTGTTAACTCTTTGGGATTTACATTCAGTATTTTAATTTTATAGCATGCTTTCTGGAAGCCTATGTTACATTCATGCACTGACTATGATTCTCAACAGAGTTAAGCAAAACTGGAAAAACATATAGAAAAAGAGAATAGCAAATGTCAAACTTTTCGCTTTGTACCTAAGCTTCCCCGAAAACATTGCTAAATATAACCAAGGACACCAAGATCTTCACCAGGAACTCAAGGATCTTAGATATCCAACTACTAATAAAAAATGACTCTGAATTTAAGGCAACCCCCCAATAATTAGTTTTACACATGAAAAGTTTATAAATTTGTTATAATTTTCCATGTATAAAATCCAATTATCAAAGGGTCATCTTAAATTCATCCCCCCACCAGTGTAGCAAAGATGCGTGCATGTGCACAGCTGCAGCATTCACACAGCCAGGAATGCAGCCAGGCTGCATGGAGAGTAGCATCCTGCCGGTAAGTCTGGGGAGGGGATGCGATGTGGGGCAAATCGAGGCCCCCACCATGATGAGGGAGGGAGTGGGGCTGGGACAGGCGCTGCCCAGAAAGGGCAATGAATGCATCCCTGGGGCAGGGCAGAGTTGCAGGCGGCTTGTCCAGGGGGCCTGGCGGGTGGGGAGGTTGGGGGGCATGTGCCCCCCACCCTGGATTTGTGCACAGGGTGCAGGGGCACTGCCCACTGCTGGCTCGGGGCCAGGGACAGTAGCAGGCTCTTCCAGGTGGGAAGAGACTGGGCTAGGGCTGCACGGGGCAGGCAGCAGCAGTAGTACAGAGGTTTGGGGGGCCAAAGCAATCCCAAAATGGCAAATGCCCCCCTTGGTTCCCCCAGAGGTGTGCACAGCAGTGGGGAGCTGCCCCCCCTTCCCACTCCCCCACAGCTGTGCCCTGGTCTGGCAGCGCCTGCCCCAGCCTCTGTGCCACTCCAGTCCTGACCATGGGGGTCTCTATCTGCCCATACCACACCCCTTCCCTCCTCCACTCCCCTTCCCACCCCCCCCACCTCCAACTTAGCCACAGGAGGCTGCTCTCCAAGCTGCCTGGCTGTATTCCTGTAAAACAGATTGGTATCAACCAATATGGCTGGTTAATAATTGGCTATTGGTATCGGCCAAAATTATCTTTATTGGTTGCACCCCTACCAGAAAATGTGGTTATTAATCTTGTTTTGGATAATCAAGTTAATACCACAGCATAAAAAACAAAACAAAAAAAATGGTGAAGATGCATAAGAGCCTTGTCATGAACAAAATGAATGAAAAACATTTATAAGAAAATATGCTTTAGTGGCGTATTATGAAATTACTAGCAAATTGCCTATCAAGAATGACAGATGAATTTTGAATAACCAAAACAAAACAAAAAAAAGGCCACTGGCCTTGCCCCCCCAACTCCCTCCCCCTCCCCGCCATCATGCCAGTGCCCCATTGTGCCACCACCACCTCCTGTCCATAATGCTCTTGGAGCGCTC